ACGGTGTCGAATAATTTCGTGTCGAATCGTACGGTGTCGAATAATTTGGTGTCGAATCGTACGGTGTCGAATAAATCTGTGTCCAATAATTTGGTGTCGAATCGATCGGTGTCGAATCGTACTGTGGTCAAACGGAACACGCCCCTCTGCATGCAGTCACCTACCCTTGCTCTCAGCGTGACCTCGAGGCAAGACTTCGCGTCTCCGTTCCTCTCTCTCTCTCTCTCTCTCTCTCGTTCGGGCACAGCATGCTATCCTTGGCAAAAGGTCCCACGATGATCCTCAGGACAGTGAGGCGCCGAAATTACATACTGTTGGGAAATCAAATATAGTAAGGTGATGGTCGTATTAAGAAATTTGTGAAGTAAGATGTAATTAGTATAAGGTCGCGTACGTGGAAATTAGGAAGTTAAAACATAAGATAGTCACGTATGCTTGATTGTGACACAGTTAAGTGTGTTGTAAAGAGAGAATATTGCTTAATCAGCAAGGACGGCAGATCCGTCTCCGAGAGCTGATCAAGCAAAGATGAGCGAGTTGCGAGATCAACTCGTGCAACGTTGTTTAGGATAAAACAAGGTGATGCTCTCACTTCGGTGATATAAAAAGTGATGTGACAGAGTTGAGAGCAGAAGTTCGAGAACTACCGCCGAGTCGTCGTACTAGTTGTAAGAAGCTAAGCTGTAAATCGTCAAATAAAGTTAGTTTAACTGTTGAACGAAGGCGGAGTTACTTCTCCCCGAATCCAAACGGAAAATCATGTAAAAAGAATCCGGTACCGTCGTAGCGGTACAACATACAAGAAAAATAAAAAATAAAACGCCATTCTAAGCGGACGCATGCAAGGCCTGGAGAATCTTGGCGCTCATTTTTCAACTCGTTTTCCCAAGCTCCCGCGAAAATCTTTAACCTTTAGAGAGCCGGAAAACCAATATTTTGGCGCACCAGAATAACTTGTTCAATTTCTTTTTTTAAATTAAATATTAATGTTCTTAATATTATTAGCAATTTTTAATATTATTTAATGTCAATTTGCCCGTCCCTCTCCCACTCACCCCGTACCCTTAATTTTCATGTGAGATATTCTAAAACAAATACATGGCTTGATTCGCGTGCGGCTNCAATTATAAACAAATTTATTTTTATTTGGGGTTTTTAAAGTTGCTATTTACTAGTAAAACAATTTGGCAAAATTGTGAATAGCAGATCAAAAATATATTTATTGATTAGGCCTGCTCGTTTATCGTCGTCCGTCCTTGCCATACGTGATAACGGCGCGTAGGAGCAGCTGTCGCCTCGCGTTCTCTGTTAGGTCAGGCTCGAGATACACTTATTTTTTTTACTCGTGTTGATACATTTTCCGTTACTTTTTATCTTCCTCGTACTTTATTACTTTTGCTATACAATGAATACAGGTGATGACGAAGCTTGGAGTAGTGGAGAGTCAGAGCCTGAAGAAGATGTTATTACAGACAGAACTATTGCTTGTGATGTTGATTTACTTGATAACAAACGTGATGAGAATATACCAGATGTACACTATGATCCTTATTTTTACCCATCTATAAAAACTTTTACTGGTTAAGCACGTATTCGTGATCACGTGTCTCTAGACAAACCTACTCCATTAGAATGTTTGAAATATTTTTTTAATACATTTCTTGTAAATTTAATTGTAGAACAAACCAATCTTTTTCAAGAACAAAATCCCGAACCGGATGGAATACATATAAAGCCGTGGACTCCTATCACTGAAGACGAATTATAGATAATGATTGCTTTATCAATAAACATGGGTCATGTTGTAAAAGGGCAACTAAAGGATTATTGGAGCCAAGATCCACTGCTGTACACTCCAATATACGGCAAAAGTCTATCTCGAAATAGATATCTCCAAATTTTACGATACCTTCACTTTTCTAATAATGAAGAAGTTTCCAATCATCCTTTGAAAAAAATCAAACCAGTGATAGATCATTTGAAAGAAAAGTTTGTAATACTATTATTGCTGGTGAAAAGCTTTGCATTGACGAAAGTTCAGTCTTATGAAAAAGGAAGCTAAAATTCAAACAATTCTTACCATTGAAGAGACACCGATTTGGTATGAAGATATTTGAATTAGCGGACTGCG